CTCAAAGGCACTCAGTTTGCTCTCTGTCTCACAGGTAGGCAACTGTCTGCACCCTGACTCTGTCCTTTACCTGGAACTGCCAAGCCTTGTTAGCCATCCCTGCTTCTCTCTGTCAAAGCTGTAGGATTCGTCGTTTATTGTGAGCGAGTATATGGCTGCTGTTGATGTGTAGGTACCTCAGGGGGCTGCTGGCTCTGGGTGGTGGGTTGTACTGTCAGGCTGAGCTGAGCTGCCCCTTCACCCCATGGCTCAGGGTTATACAGAGATCTCAGCTGTGATGGCCTCTGTGCTGCCAGATGCTGGGTTCCCACCTGGCATTGTCAGCTGTCCCCAGAGCATCCCCTGGCCAGGCTCCCTCCTTCCTTTCTGGTCTCAGTGCTCCCATCACTTTGGGCTCTCATGAATTGTACTGCTTCCTTGAGGGAACAGAATGTGAGTGCAAAGGGCTGTTTGCTAACAGACTTGACTTGCACTTTGAGAAGCTATCTGCCAGGCTTCCTGGTCTGCCAGCTTGTCAGACCCCATGGGGCTGGGGCAAGATGAAGCATCATCTCCTGTGGGGCCTCAAGATCACCCAGGAGTGGAGGAAAGAGTTAAAGAGTAAAGGAAAAGACCCAAACTGGAATGAATGTTAGGTTTACTGGGTTCCCAGTCCCAGCCAGTTATCACCAAACTCAGATGCACACACCTGGCCAGATGCAGGCCCACATAACTACCATGGCATCTGGTCCCGAGTCGAGGATGCACTCCTCACTGTATGAAGGGGCTTCTAATAAAGCTGCGCCTGACCTTCCAGACAGCTGTCTTGAGGCTGTTTCCCCTCTGTGTTTGAGAGCTGCAAGCCGATGACACAGTTCAGGGTGACACTTGGGAACACCAGATGAGCACATTGACAATGAACACCTCCTGCTCTGCTGAGAGGGGAGAAGCCTTGTGCTGAGGGTGGTGGAGAGAGCAGAGATACGAGTGGGTGCAGGTGGAGAGCGTGAGGCTGGCTCGCTCTGGTCAGAACTAGCTCCTGACCATGACTTTCTCCCAGAGAGCAAAGTGTATATAGTAGTGATGTAGTAGAGCCAGCTGTGTCTGCAGTCTCCAAGACTTTGGGCCAGGCCTCTCTCTGAGTCTTTGGAATTCACTCCATCCCTGTTCTGCACACCCCTTGTTTAAAGGGAAGCAGGAAACACTCTTGGATTCCAAAGGTTCTAGAAGTGTGGTTGTGGGAAGAGGCCTCTGTCCACTGGTGACCACATTGCCGAGGCGGCTAGGGTTCTGAGGGGGTGAGCCAGCCACTTTCCACAGTTATGGTAAACTTAAACTCAAAGTTGCTTTCCTCATTCATCAGAACATGACCACAGCTCCTGCCAGCAAAGCTCCTTGAAGACATCTCTGTCTGTTGGTGGCTCATGCTCACAGATGGGTGATGTCAGTCCTGGGTTTAGGAAGAACTTGCTGTACTGAATCCTGGTTTCAAAGGGTGGAAGAGGGGGTGGCAGGCTTTGAACTAACCCCACCCCCTGTGAGAGTAGAAGCTGTCTTCTGGCCTTTCTGTCAGGCTTTAGCTGGGAAGCTGCAGTCTCTAGACACCCGGCACAGACACAGTTGCAGGAGAAAGATTCAGGCCTCCTGCCTAGGGTGATGCCAATGCTTTCCAGACACTGAACCTGTGGCCATGGCCTTCTTGACTGAATGGCCAGTACAACAGCCACCCTCCTGCTTGAGAGACCAGCTGCTAGGACGTAGCAATACGATGGCTCTGTGGTCCCAGAAGAGGCAGATCCCATGTGTGGAAGAGTAGGATGACTGGGCCAGCAGCAGCTGGCACAGACGTGGCTCTTTCAGCTTGGCCACCACACTCCAGTCCTGCTGCACAGAGGAGGAGCGGAAAATATTTGTCACCGGCTGTTGAATGTTTTATCAAAAACCAAATAGAAACAACTTACTTATTAGTATGGAATTAGGTATACACAGACATTCTCCATTCAAAAAAACCAAAGCTACCTGCAGTGGAGAAGCAGCTGTGAAACACCACCCTCACCCAGAAATGACTCAAATGTAGGGATCAAGAGAGACAGACCCTCACACACAGGATCCACTTATTTATTTCCAGACTGTTCTGGGGAGTGGGGATGGTTCCTGGAGATGGGTCGCAGTGGGCCACCACATTTTTCTGTTATATAATTTATTCTTATAGCTTACTATAAAGTAGACTTGAGGGCAGTCAGAGTAGTTGAAACTAGGATTCGAAGGCTATGCTTTATCAGAAACAACTTCAGCTCTTGGAGGGGTAAATAACAGAAATCAAAAACTTGCTGCCTGGTCCCTATGAACGGGATGCTCTCATTCACTTGGGGTCTTGTAGGTCTCCCCAGAAGACAGAATGGAGACACTAGAACCTGACCTCACAGTGCATGTCCTGCAGATTTCTTCAGGATACACAGGAGTCCACAGGGCAGGCTTGACTCTAGAGACAATTCCTAGGAACACAGCGGATGGCAGCGCACACTTGTGCCATGATTGCTACTAACGCTGCTGAACCTGCATTTGCTGCGTGGCCGCTCTATCGACTCACTGGCCGCATTAGTGCAGAGCATCTGCTCCTAGATTGCAGCCGGGGGGAGTTTCCCCTTCTCTCCAGCATCTCTGAACACCTCTGAGAACAACTCAAGTGGTCGTGGGTTAAGACTCGCCCAACCAGGGCAATAAAGAGAAAAATTAGTCTAATGCATGGTCTTAACAAGAGGGAGTGTGAGCATGAATAATTGATATCACTAGTCTGTGGCAATCAGATAAAATGAAGTCCCATTTGCTCAACCTTATTAAAAGAGAGAGTGTGTAGGAGGGAGGGAGCCATGGTAAAGGTCGTTAAGGGACTTGTAGCGTGGAAGACCTGCCTTCGAGATGGTAATGTGTTTTCCAATCTCTGTGGTCTTTAACTAAACGCAATTGTAAAGGTTCTCTTTGGATAGTTCTGATCCACTGAATTATTGAACGTTTTAGAAATACTTGACTGCTGACTTAGATGTCTTTATGATGAGTTTGCAGAGTCTTTTTGGCGGGGATTATCTCTCTGTATCACTCAAAGATGATTCATCCACTTGTCAAAAAAGAACTAGAAAAAAGTGGAGGCTGCTGCTGACCTGTGTGAGCCTCGGTGCTTGCACTTTTACCTCTGCCTGCTCCTGTAGGCCCGCCTTCCTGCTTTGTACACTGGTGACTTTAAAGGCAAAAAGGTCAGACAGGCAAAATCCAGCATTCGGGCGGCAGAAGCCAGCCTGTCTACAAAGTGATTTCCAGGACAGGCTCCAAAGCTACACAGGGAAACCCTGTCTCAAAAAACAAACAAACAACAACAACAACAAAAAAAAAAAACCAAGGTTGCTTTTAAAAAGAAACTAATAGCTCTTTTAGAATTGTCTTACGCTAGTTGCACTTGTGGCATCTCTGTGCATGCAGAGCAGGGCACCTGGAGTGTCTGACTGACGACACTGCTTAGTGCAAGACACACACCATCTCTCCTTCAGGAGCCGCCTATGACAATGTCCAGATCATTGGCTGAAGATGAATTTGATCAGGTCCACCTTAGAAACAGCACCATTTTACTTACCTTTAAAACTTTCCGTCACGAGTTGGTAATGGCACGTCTTTAATCCTAGCATGGGGAAGACAGAGGTAGGGAGATCTCTGTGAGTGTGAGGCTAGCCTAGTCTACAGAGTGAGTTCCAGGACAGCCAGAGGTACATAGCCAGGCCCCCAACTTTCTGTACGGAACTCATCTTAACTGCATCTTGGCTTGTGCATTAGGCATTAAGATTTTGTGACCTCTGCTGTCTTTCTTTCCTGTGTTAGCAGTAGTTAACTACTGTGACCACAGGGTTAGACTCCCACAGATTCTTGAAGACTCATGTATTAGAAATGTGTGCTGCCCTGAGATTGACAGTTCCCACAGTGGAGATGACTTAACTTGTTAGGAATTTCTCAGGTCTGACATAAGAATCTGCACTCAGAAGTGCTAAGTGTCTAAGTTAACCAGGAGAGAACATGGTTTCCATGGGAATGCTAGAGTCACTCTGCAAACCCAGGTCCTTGCTGAACTCAGCATGCTCACCACACGCTCAGCAGAAGTCAGCAGAGGTGCAGTGAGGAGGCCTGTGCCCTGCCAAGTTGGGACTAGGACTGTGTACTGTTGACTAAATGCCTCCAGTTGAGCTAACAGTTCCTTCATTAAAAACCTGACTCTCAAGCCGGGCGGTGGTGGCGCACGCCTTTAATCCCAGCACTCGGGAGGCAGAGGCAGGCGGATCTCTGTGAATTCGAGGCCGGGCTGGACCTATAGCCTCCGAAACAATACAGAGAAACCCTGTCTCGTAAAAACCAAAAAAAAAAAAAAAAAAAACCAAAAAACAAAAACAAAAAAATCCCTGACTCTCGAGGCTTCCGTGTGATCCATCCTTTATTCCCCTTTGCTAGCGAAACAGCACAGACACCTTCCAGGAGGATTGCACTGTCTGGAGCCCACAGGTGTCTCCTCAGTGGCTTTCATGACCAGAACTGAAGGGAGAGTGGGGCAGGAGGCGCTGTTGGACTGTGTCAGTGTAGTGTCTGGTGCAGCTTCCCTTGGCCCTTGTAAGCTCTTTAGTTAACCCCACATCAGAAGCCAGTGACCTGTACCCTTCATTCCTGTGAAACAAACGGAAAACTATTACTGTACTAGGGTTCAGTTCAGCTGTGGGGAAAGCAGGCTGCCTGACCCATCCACCGTTCCTGCGTCTTCGCCTCATGCTTCAGCCGAGGAACTCTTGGTTTCCCTCTCTTGGTCTTTTGTCACTTGGGTAGCAGTGTCCCTCTAACTTCAGTGGCCTGGGAGTGTCCAAGCCATTTGAGTAGCAGAGCATCTTCTGGGGGGACAGTGAAATGCTCACTCCTCAATGGTGGACAGTGGAAAGCATATGATGTCCCCCTGATGCATGGGACTGACACCCTGTCCTCTCTTTCCCTCTCAGATCCTGGTGTATAGCTTGGAAGCAGAGCGCTGCCTCTCGAAGCTCGGCAATGCACTTGGTGACTTTACCTGTGTCAACCTCCGGGACAGCCCTCCCAACCTCATGGTCAGCGGTAACATGGACAGGAGGTAGGTCTGGGCTGATGTGACCAAAATCTGTGGCCCTGAGCTACAAGGGCCTCATGTTTCAGCCTTGCCTGCAGCCCCCACGCCCGCCCCATCCTTTGGACTTGGAGGGAAGTTTTGCATTAGGTAATAGTTGGACCTGCTATGCCTCCGCTTTGCTTCTGAAGCACACAGGATGGTTGGTTCTCTTTTCAGGCAGTTGGTGGATGGTCCGGCGAGACCACTTGGAATATCTTTTGTCCCCCCTGCTGCAGAATTTGTTTGGCACTGAAAAGCTCGCTTTCTAATATTAAAAACAATAACCTAAGGGACGGCTGTGTTCAGCACAATAGGGCCGCCTGCCAAGTGATGCCAAGAGTGTATTTCAGAGCACTGTGTGTCCCTCTGGTGACAGGAAAGAGACTTGATGGGAACAGACTCTAGTTTCTATTTAGCTGATTAGTGGCCTTCTCTTTAACACATTGGCTGAGGGAGTCGGTTTTGCTGGTACAGGGGCCAGTGCCAGCCTTCAGCACTGCAGGATTAAAGTGTTTGAAAAGACCCTTCTAGTCCAAATTTTAGGTTTTTTCCCCTTTGTCTTGTCTTCTCCTTTGCTTTCTCTCTGCTTTTTGGCTAGTTACCTGCTGTGTCTGATCCAGTGCCCCAGAGAGAGGTAGACTGGCCGAGGGCCAGGGCTGCTGGCACACCTCCCCTGGGCCCAGCCCCAGGCTGCAGGTGCGGGGCTGCTCAGCTCTGGGTTTCTTGGTGCCAAATCCCAGAGCTATGTCCCAGCAGAGTAGCAGCTTGCAGAAATCACTGTTGGATCATATAGCGTTTCCATCCTGAACCTCACCCACTAGCCCTACCCCCACATAGAGCAAAAAAGAGCCGGAGCATGCTTTGTGGGAAGAAGGCACTCAGTCGGTGTCTCACGGGCTCCTCAGATGACTCAGAATGTGGGGCTTGCAAACGGAGCTCGGAGTTCAGCCTGGGGGCTGGAGAGGTGGCTCAGTCAGTAAACAACTGCTGGGCAAACAGGTCGTGAATTTGGATCCCAGAACCAATTCAAAAAAACAAGGCACACCTTTAATCTCAGAACTTGGGAAGCAGAGGCAGGGGGATCTCTGTGAGTTCGAGCCAACCTTTTTACATAGTGAAGTTCAGGCCAGCAAAAGCTACATAGGGAGTGAGATGCTGTCTATAAACAACAACAACCATAAAAGGCATGGTCACACTCCTCTGTCCTCAGAGTGCAATGGCCAGCAAGTCAGAGAGCTCCAGGTTTAGCCTGTCTCAAAAGATAAGGTAGAGGACAACTGAGGACAGCTGGCATTGACTCTGACTCCCACATGCCCTTGCACACAGTTGCAAACATGCATACACTGCACACGTACATGCCCTTGCTCACAGTGTGTACATATGTACACTGCACACGCACATGTCCTTGCACACACATGCCAACAAACCACTCCCTGGGAGCTAAGCTCCATTATTTTTGAGTGGAGCAAATGTCAGGGGACTTCGAATCCAGGCCTGAGCAGTGGACTCTACCCAGACTATGTGTACAATGTGAGCTTCTTGGTACTAGCAGGAACCCAGAGCTCTGTTCTAGACCAGAGGAGCCCCTCATATGTGAAGACTCCAGAAAGCTCCAGAATGTCACCGCCACTCTTAGCTGTCCTCCAGGACACATAAGTATTTCAGTAAAGCTGACCTGTTCCTCTGGAGTGTACCCTACCCAACTCATCACACGTCATAACTAAATGAGGGGCCATGTGCCCTGCTCAGAAGGCCTGCTGGTCAGCGTGAAGCCCACATTTGAATTTGAGAAAGCTGTTTTATTAGAATGTAGCATAATTAAGTTTTTAAAATAAAGCAGGGAAGTCCCAGGGTTCTCAGCACAGTATCAGTCACTAGGTAACAGACAGGAACAGGACCCCTCACTGTTAGAGCCCTACCTCCTCACCCCCCCCCCTTCCCCGCTTAGAATAAACCCAAGCTGCAGGCCAGGGCTTGTGTCTGCAGTGAGGGCTTACAAAGCCAAGACTCCCTGCCTCATCTAAGAGTCCAGACCCCTCGATCTTTCCTTTGTCCAGGTAAGTTCTATGGAAGACACATTTTAAAGCCCCTATGGATAAGTTTTCTTGTATATGCAGGCCATCTCCTGCTAGGATAGCTGTACCCAGTGGATACACTGTCCCCAAACCTAAGTCATTAGGCTGCTCTTTTCTCCTTAGGAGACAGAGTTTTTAAGCTCATTCAGTTCCAGGAAAGTGGTTCTGTGGGAGCCCCTGTGAGTAGAGGGAAGCTTGTAGCTGGTGGCCCAGGGCTGTGTTCAGTGAGGTCCCTCCCTGTATGCCTCAACAATGAAACTCAGGCTCTGCCCCCAAAGAGCCAGGCCCACAGTCAGTACTGGGTGAGACAGCAACTGTCAGGTTGCTAAGGCACATTCCTTGACCAACAACTCTTAGTCACCCCGCCCCCAGATAGAGCTTATTTTTTAGTATGTGTGTGTGCACGTATGTGCACATCCATATTTGTGTGTATATACATCCATGTGTGGGTGTGTGTACGCTACAACACATGTGTGACCAAGGACAAACATTGTCTTCAGCCCTTGTTTCCTCCACATTGGCTATGCATTCAGATTATCTGTCCCTACCTGTCATTTTACCATAGGATAGCTGGATTGCAGACATATGGTGCTGTGTCTAGCTTTACCTGGGTCTTGGGGGCCCAAACTTAGGTCCTTATTTGTCTGCCAAGCATTTTATCCACAAAGCCCTCTCCCCAGTACAAGTTCATTTTAGAACCAATTCCTGAAGGTAGGGTTCACGTGCCATGTGACACACCAACTTAAACTCACAGTTGATTTCAGGACAGTACCCCAGATAGAAATGCTGCACCATGAGCAGTCAATGTTTGTAAAAGTGGTGACCTATTATGACTTTTCCTAGTCTAATGTTTTCAAGGTAAGCCCATGTGGTAACTTGCATTCAAACATCACTCATTCCATCACTTGACAGACAACATTCTGCCCTCCTTGTTCGGCTTGTGGGCATCTGGATGGGTGGTTTAATTAGTTAAATCTCTTAATAGCTTTGACCATTATCATAATTCCTGTGTAGTTTTTTTGAGTAGCATCAATTCTCTTGGATGCAGACACCTAGGAATTGAGTTGCTGGCTTCAGTGGTAATTTCCATAGTTGTCTTCTCTGGTGGCTGCTCTTCCTGCCTGCCCTGGCCCTAGGGAATCTTCCAGTTTCTCCATGTCTACAGTTCATGTGCTGTCCTCAGTCTGTGTGGCAGTCAACCTGGTTTGTGAGGCGTCTCCATAACCCATCCCTGTGCTATGGTCCTTCTGCACATCCTCCTGGAGACTTGACCATCCAAACCATGGTTTTGAGTAGGGTGCAGGTTGAGACATGGTTTCACTGTGTAGTGAACTGGCAGGCATTTACGTGTAGAACTTAGGGCAGTCCCGTGTCTGCTGCTGGGTTCTGGGATTACAGGCATGAGCTACCACACTCAGACTCAAATCCTATTTTTTAATTGAGGTTTATTGTTGAGAGAGAAAGAGAGAGAGAATCTTAGGGCTGGGCAGTGGTGGTGCACACCTTTAACCTCAGTACTTGGAAGGCAGAAGCAGGTGGATCTCTGCGTTTGAGACCAGCCTGGTCTATAGAGTGAATTTCAGGACAGCCAGAGCAACACAGAGAAACTCTGTCTTGGAAAAAAAATTCTTAAAAAGAACAGGACAAAATGTACAGCATAGGCATATGAACTGTTTGTGATATTTTTTAAAGTTATTGTGTACGTGTGAATGATGATGGGGTTACACATGCCACAGCGTGCATTTGGGTGTCCAAGGACAACTGTGGAGTGGGTTCTCTCCATCCACCTTTACCAACTTGAGACTCGGGTCACCAGGCTTGCTGCGAGCATTCACCTGCTGAGCCAGCTTGCTGCTTCTCACTCAGTCTCAGAATGGAAACTACTAGAAAAAGTGTCCATACTTCTGGCTTTATTGCTTTGGCCATCACTGCTGCCCCAGGCTGGCTTCTTTGTGTGCTGCAGAGCTGAGGGCTTAGAATATTCCTTGAGGAATCAGGTGCTAAAAGCTCTGAGAGTCACCCCAAGGGGTTGGTGCTTATATTTCATGTAGAAACCTCATAGCGCAGTGATGTCGCTTGGCACAGAGCATGCTAAGCTCAGCCCAGCTGAACAAAGCTGGATATGTCGTCCATCTGAAAATATAAGTGTTTGCAATTGCTATTAAGATGAACATTCTCAGAAGGCCGGCTTTGGTGCTGTGTGGGTGAGGCATGGATTCTACATACTCACGTGCAGCCTTCCTCCTCAGCTCAGGTACAGCGAGGTCAGACCCAAGTGTGCACTAACCTTTTAGAAATGCCAGTTTTCCCAATTTAGTCATAACTTTAAAAAGCTTGTGTGTCAGTGATTTCTGTACATTTACCTTTATTTTTTGGATCTAACTGTAGCCAAGGTTGGGTTCTTCCTGAAGAACAGCCAACCCACAATCTGAACGCTGCCAGCTTTGCCACCACAGTCTGCCTTGTTATCATACAGGACTGTTGAGTCCAAACCAATAGGAAACACGCCCCAAGGTGTGACCCCCCCCCAATTAAAGAGTCCTCTCACTTCCTTCCTGCCCAGCACATAGAAAGTTGTGGTGCGCTCGTGTGTGGTGCCTGCTGCCAGGGCGCGTGCAGGGTGCGAACATTACGCTCACTCCATCTGCAAGTGCTATAATGAGTTATTCAGAGCGCTTCACACAGGACCAACCAGAGCGTGCCTCCCTCTCCGTTCCAGCGCGTTTTCCTGCCCATCAGATGGATGCTCCTCTGCTGGAGTCTTTGGAAGGCTCTGGTGTCTTTTGTTTTAATTGGCGGGCTAAAGCTGCCTCCTATGGTGCGGTTTTCATTAGTGAAGGCTGCAGAGAGGGAGTGTTGGGGCTGTCCTCCAAGCCCATCCATGAATATTAAACATAAGACAATTATAGCTTTCAGACCAATTATTTTTCTTTCAGCAGGCAAAGTTGGTGATACTCACTAAATGAGGGTCTGCAGTTTCTACCATTGGCCCCTTCTTGTCCCTGGAATCATTCAGCCTGGCACGTCTTTGCCCATTTGCTGGGCTACCTGTTTCCCAGTATGGAGTGGCTCTGCCAGGGCATGCTGCACTTGGGGTTGGTACCGCACGCTGTCAGATGCTCTGGGCTGATACCTGCTTCCTAATGTGAATTTGATGGCTTGGGTGGACAGGACACTGCAGTATGTGCAATTCTGAGACAAGAAGCCAGATGTCTCCTTAAGATGTCAGAAAATTGCCCATCCTTCTCCATGGGCTAGTTGGTTTCCCTAGTGAACGTGAGCTGCTCTCTGGTGTTTGTCTTCATTTGGTGCCATCGTGCCGCTGTTTAAACACAGTAGAGAAACAGACGGCAAGCTTTGAGCTACTGGACCACACGTGTTTACCCGTGTGTCCTTAGCAGCCACACTGTAAACGGAGGGGCTCTTGATAGACCTGACTAGCCTGCATGCACTCCACTCCCATCTGTTTCAAGTGCCCATGCTAGGCTCCAGCCTGAGGCTCCTTCCTGGATGCCCAACAGCCTTGGGTCTCTTGGCCTACAGAGGCCTGAAGACAGGTAGCTGTGTGCCCTTAGAAGGCTCCCTCTCTGGAGACTGGGAATGCCTGGCATTGGTAGCCATTGGCCTGCACTGCCATCTCGACGTGTGGCCTTGATTCTGCATCCCAAGACTGTGATTCTCTGTCTGGTTTGTTGGTTTGTTGATGGTGCTCATGTGTTTTTACAACCCCATGGTTTTCTTGTACCCCAGGCTGATCTTGAACTTGCTTTGTCGTAGCCTTGTAGTGATCTCTTGGTCCTTCTGCCTTTATCTCCCTGGTGCTAGGATTTCAGACTGTACCACAATGCCCAACTTCTGTTGTCCCACATTATACCTACTTAACGCTAGCTAAGAAACAGGTGAGCCGTCTGAAACAGATCGGGTGTGTACATTTGCGCACACCAGGGTGGAGCTGATACCCTCTGAGGCCTGAGTTTTAAACAGCATAGTCATGTCTGGAATAAAGCAAAAACCTCTCTTGAGCCTCTGGCTACAACCCCACCTCTCCTCCCAAGTTGCTGCTGTTAGCATTTCATTTCTGAACTGTGCTTCTGGGTAGCGTGCTCTGTACCTGAAAGCAAGGACAATAGAGCCTCTGTGCAACCCCATGACAGCTGCCTGTCCCCCCTGATCACACTTCAGGAAGACTGGCCCATGACCCCTTCACAAATGGTGCAAAGCCACGTCACGTGCTCGGATTTACACTCCTGAGGGCAGGTAGAGCTCTGAATGTCTGCCGCATGCTCCACTGTTGGTGTGTCCTGCGGTTGCCTGAAGTGATGCAGTGACTTAAGCCATCCCCATGCAGTCGTTCAGATTCACGGCATCTCTGCTACCTCTACTCTCCCTGTCTGTCTAACGTAACAGGCAATTCCTCCCCCAGCCTATGAAGACCTGCTCGTATGCTCCCACTTTTGAAATGACAGCTTCCCGTATGTAGTTTTTATTGTGACGAGTGTCCACTAGCACTAACCCCAGGGCATTACCAGCCCGCTTTTCTCCAGGATCTATCTTCCTTAGGTGTGATGTCCCTGCCCTCCACAGCTCTCGCTACTCATGCTATGCTCCTTCTTGCCTTCTCATGAAGCTCATGTTCAGGGTCTTGTAGATAAATGGGTGTTTTAAAGTGGGAGTCGAGGAATTCCATGGCCCCTGCTGCTGCAGTGTGGACTGAGGGCAGCAGCCTCACCCCTCCCACAGCTGCTCAGCTGAGTCTAAAAGTTCTTCACTTCTGCAGAGCAGTGGAGAGGCGGCTCCCCTGAGCCCAGCCGGGCAGTTAAAGGGTATTAGTGTTGTTTTCACCACATTAAGTGGTGTGTGGTGGGACGCTGCCCAAGCTGTCTGAAACCAAGGCCCTGACCCTGTTGTGAGCTGCGGATCTGTAGTCTGTGCACATGGTGAGCCAGTAAGAGCCTGAGTTATCCTTACTGTGACAAAAACAACTTGAGTTTATTTGGGGTTCAGGGTTTGAAAGTATGGTCCATCAAGGTGGAGAGCCATGGTGGCCCTAATGTGTCCATTCTCTGGAAACACCCCAGCAGGAGTCCCTTGTAAGCCATTCCAGCCTAGCCCTCACCCTCACACTGGGATACTCCAGCTTGGTCCCTGCGGAACTGTTTGTGTGTGCACCAGCCATGAGTCTCACAACCACACCAGGGTCCGTGGAGTGGAACAGGTTCTGTCTTCGCTGAAGAGACATGACAAAGGAGCAGCGTCCGGTTTTATTTCTCACAGTCAGCAGACTTGGGTGTGACGTGCTCAGCAGGCACTCCTTGAGTGAAGTTGTTCTCGCCTTTTCTCTCACCGTTAACTTGGAGGAACCAGTTATGAGGGGGCCTCTGCTATAGACTCCCATCAGCTGAAATACTTGTATAATCTTTTCAGGGTGCCTCGTGGGATTTATGTTTAAGAAACATTCCCCCCCTCCGCCCCATCTTTTCATTGTTTGAAGCAAGGTCTTGTACGTAGCACAGGCCAGCCTCAGCTGCGTGAGTAAACCCAGAAATTTCCTCAGGTTAGGCAAGACCAAGCTACATTCCAGGCATATATATATTTGACACAGTATCACTAAGCTGTTGAGGTTGGGCTGGAACTTACCGTCCTCCTACCTTAGCTTCGTGGGTAGCTGCTATTACATGTAACTCAGCTGAGTTGAGGACTGCTTGATGTGGGTGCTAGGAACCAAATGGGGATCTCTCAGGAGCAATCCATGCTTTAACTGTGGAATCATCTCTCCAGCCCCTTGACTGTGTTTCGTACAGTTAGTGATTTATACAAAATGTAGCTGTTGGGGCTGGAGAGGTAGCTAAGAGCACAGGCTATTCTTTCAGAAGATCCAGGTCCAGTTTCCAGCACCTACATGGCAACTGTGACTCCAGTTCCAGAGGATTTGGTGGCCTCCTCGGCCTTCTGCAGGCACTGCACACATGTATTACACACATACAATTTTGTAAAGTAGTTGTTGAGGTGGGCATATTAATGTGGATAAATTTCTGTTTCTCTTAGTGGCATTCCTGATCTTAATTGCATTGATCATTTTTAACAATGGGCAGGAGCAGTGCAATAGTGCCCGGCTGTTAGGAGGCATCCCGAGAGAGCAGGGGGCTTGCTTCGGCCCTCGTGGAGCTGGCTGCAGGTTTCCTTCTGTGTGCAGTGCTCAGCTAGTCTCCAGGGGCGTCCCATGGTCCTGTTGCTGCGGAGGCTCAAGGTTGTGTGCCTGATGCTAGCTGTGCCGACTGCCTCCCTCCCCGGCTTCTGCCCCTACATGTCTGGCCAGCCCTTGCTTGTGGCTCTTTATAACTTAGTCTATTGGGTTTTTCTGTTCTTTCCTAGAAAGTCATTTATTTGTCTAAATTTTCAGTTTTGGAGATTTAAAAAAAATGAATTCAGACAGAAAAGCTGGGGGGTTATAGAACCCAGAGAAGCAGAATCTTGAAATCCACAAAACACCCTGTGTTTAAAAAGGTAGTTAGGTCCCCATAGCTTTGATTTCCCCCAGGCAGGTTTACCAAACATATACTAAAACTTGCTCTTGAAATCCAACCTTTCCGGCACAGAACTGCAGTATCCATGTTCGTTCTCTGCATGAGTCAGGTTTGATCCGTGATTGTCCCATGTGCAATGGCTTCCAGATTCCCTGCCTAAAGGCTCAGTGTTCAGTGACCTTCGGGGGGGGGGGGGCAGGTTACTAAGTACTTGCCAGGAGTGCTGCGGGAAAGGCTGGGGACCACACGCTGCTGCTCCCTTTGAGCAAAGGGCAAGTTTCCATGATGCCCTTCAGACTGGGGAGTGAGTGAGGGTGGTCTTGAGGAATTAAAATAATTCCCGGGACCTGGAAGCAGTGAGTGTGTATACCTTCTGGATTAAGTTTGGGACAGCATATGCTGTCTCTCTGTCTTGCCAGGGCTTTCAACAGGGTTGTCTGATCATAAGACAAAGTGTCTGTCCTACTGTAGATGCTCAGCCCCACAGGGGAGTCCCACGGGAATACTGCTGAAGCTGGGGCTGCAGGGTCCCTCACTAACCCCTCTCCTCCTGCTGTTCTTGGATCTTCCAGAGTCCGGCTCCATGACCTCCGCAGCGACAAAATTGCCCTGTCACTGTCTGCCCATCAGCTGGGGGTGTCCGCAGTCCAGATGGATGACTGGAAGATTGTCAGTGGGGGAGAGGAGGGGCTGGTGTCTGTGTGGGATTACCGCATGGACCAGAAGCTATGGGAGGTGCACTCCAGGTAAGCGCTGCTGGCTCCTCGTGTGTGTGTGTGTGTGTGTGTGTGTGTGTGGACTGGGGTTGCTGGAGTGGTTCCCAGGCCACCTGTGCCCACGCTGCTACCTTCCTAAAAGCAACTTTGAAGGAGAGGAGACCTAGACTTGGAAAGACCAACTCTGAGACCTCAGCTCCTCTCTCTTCCCCATTATTATTGCCCTGAGGAGCACATGGCCTCACTGAGTATCCTGGATTCTGAGGGTGGAGTGAACGTTTCACAACTGTGCTGATCACTGTAGATTCTTTCAGGAAAAGGAGGAAGTCAGCTTGGTGAAACTACTTTCCAGTGTGTGGCTTGCACCTTCCTTCACTATGAAGAAGAGCATGTGGTGTGCAAGTTAAATGAACGCCGGCCAAGGGGAGAGCTCATCTTGCCTTGAGCAGGAGAGGCTCTGTGACTGGTGACTACTGGTAGAATTGTTTGTGTGAGCCTGCCTCAATTCTGAATTTAGAAGCAGCCTGGAACTCCTACCAGCTCATGTGCTTTCAGTAGGAGAGTCAGCCCAGAGTCCTGTCTAGCTGAGATTTGGCCCTTCTGTGAAGGTGCTCAGTGTGAGACTATGACAGATGCAACTCTCCCACTCCAGATGCAAAATCAAGACCGCTCTGCCTTCATTAAGTGCAGAGTCGATGGCTTTGCAAACACTCCCAAAAGTAGCGAAGTGAAATTTGTTTCTTGGCCTGCAGGGTGGTGAATTCTTTGGCCAGCAGTTTTTATCGAACCAGAATCCACACCTACCCTTCCTTAGCTTTCATGGTGATGCGCCATGGTGCCACCAGGTGGCGCCAAAGGGCAACTCAAACTCCCACACTAGACTCCAACAGCGTTTGCCCAAATTTTCAGGAAAGCCAGTGTTGCTGGTAAAGAGCAGATTCTCTGCGCCTCCAGGACAGCGCCATCCTTTCTGGGCTTCTCTAGTGGCTTAGGCAGACTTCCCACACACCCAGAAGATCTTTTTCCCCACTTGAGGGAGGCCCAGGAAGTAAAGCCTTCTCTTGTAAGGCCATCTCCCAAGCCTTATTCCAGCTACTGTCTGACCACCTACCCATCCTCAGCCTGCCTTCCCTCACCAAGTCCCTCTCCTTTATGCACCTCCCGTATCCTCCATCCAGAAGACCTGTTACTGCTGCAGGCCTCCTCCCTGGTGGCCTCACTCAACCCACTTGAGGTGGCATGGAACTCCTTCCTGCAGAGGTGAGGTGGGCACCTTACCTTCTTGGCTGGCTGGTTTTGAGCCTCTGAAGGCAACAGACTTCACTCTCTGTTGTCCCTGGCTCACATGACGTCAGTTGTAGCCGTCACTTCAGGACTGGGGCCTTACTCAGGTGGCTTGTTGAGTCTGTATGCCATGTTGCAGGTTTGTCTCAAGCTGAACCACCTTATACCCCAAACGCACCAACTTGCTGAAGGAAGCAGTCTGCTGGGATGTACAGAGGGTGTCAGAGAAGGAGGGGCCTTGCTCGTGCCTGCTTTGGGAGCTGAGGCTGGCCTCCAGTTCCTTCTCCATAGTGGAAAGTATGCCTGGAAGCTGTGCTATGCACAGCTGGTGCAGGCCACGCTCCAGCCTTACAGGGTTCTTCCCCACTGCTCCAGGCACCCTGTGCGGCACGTCTCCTTCAACAGCCACAGCCTCATCACTGCCAACGTGCCCTACGAGAAGGTGGTGCGGAACTCCGACCTGGACAACTTTGCCTGTCACAGGAGGTCAGTGAGGGCTTGGACACACCCTGAGGCATGCTTAGCATGGTTTCGTCAGTACCTCCCACCCCGCCCCCACTCCATCCTAGTCACATGCTCCTCTCAGAGTATCAACAATGGGCCCTGGTTTTTGTAGAGCTAGGGAACACAGTGGCTGCTATAGACCAGAAGCAGCTGTTGAGTGTCTGTCTGGAGCATCCTGCAGCTGCTCCTGCCATCCGGGGCAGAGCAGGGCACGGTGTCAGCTGGACAGCGAGGCTGGGCCTCAGTGTGTGCATAGCTGGCATTGTGTGCTCAAGGCACACTCTCACAGTGGAGGGCTAGCCTAGGCTGTGCATGCCCCTTGCCGCAGCAGCCTTGCTGACTGGTGCTTGTCTGTACTTCCTCTAGACATCGTGGCCTGATCCGTGCCTATGAGTTTGCAGTGGACCAACTGGCCTTTCAGAGCTCTCTTCCTGTCTGCCGCTTACCCTGTGACACCATGGCTGGGTATAGCTATGACCTAGCACTGTCTTTCCCCTGTGATTAGGGCGTTACCTCATGGAGATGTGGGAAGGGCCAGTCTTACAAGTGTTAGACCTGCAGGGATCCTCTGCAGCACAAAGTGGAAGCCTGGGGACAGTGCCCCCTCCCAGGTGGCCTGTGGCCACCAGCCTTGCTGCCTCTGGAGCCGCCTTACAGAGTCTGCTCCCACCTAGGGCTTTGGGGGTACCCGCTGATGACTCTGAGTTAACCTTTCCCAAAGCGCTCCTCCACAGCAGCCAGCGCCAGGAGAGACACCCCTCCCTCCATCCATATACTACTCTCCTGTGTATGTTGCTGAGGGTGGAGCCAGAGCTTCACACAGGCAGGCAAGCACTCAAGAGTGGCCTCCTGACCCCACCCCGGCCCCTTACCTGTGTGAGGACTGCTCCATTTCACTTGCTGCTCTACGTTACCAAGGAAACAGCCCTCCTTCACTGGGGAGGAGAGGGCCACTCCATAGGGGTGGGCGGAGCCTGGCTGGTGTCACCTCTTCCCTCAGCACCCCAAAAGCAGCAGCAGTCAGTGCTCTCGACAGACACTCACTCTGCCTGCAGAATGGCACAGGCACATCCACACACAGTGGCCAGGAGACCCAGTCAGTGAAAACATTTGGGCACAGACACGAGGAGCTCTTCAGAATTCCTGTGGACCAGGCACCTAACCCTGTACAGAGATCCACACATCAGGCAGAGTCCCTATCCCAGCCAATACCAGCTCAGAAAAGGTGCTAGAGGGGTTGAGAGGGCTTGCATCTCTAGAGGGAGGGAAGTGGACCCGCCTCTAAGCCAGAGTAATACTGAGAGCAGCAGCTCCCCCCCCTCCAACCCCCCCTGCAGCAGAGCGCTCACTGTACTCTGGCCTTGTTTCCCAGGGCTGGGCATGGAACCTGGGGCCTCGTGTGGGCTAGGTAAGTCTGCCACTGAGACACTACCTGGCTTTGTGGCATGAGGGTTTCTCAGTTTAAGACAGCCAGAGGCCTCAGACATCCAGGGTCTAGCAGGACAGGCACACAGAGCCAGCTGCAACTGAGCAAGGCCTCCTTGCAGGCCCCTCCCTCCCGGGGAGGACTTTGAGCCACACTGCAGAGTGCCAGCAGGCAGCAGCTCCCTCGTGCTGGGCTGATGGCCCCTGCTGGCTTGGTCTTTAGGTCTTCTCAAACTTTCCCGGGCGGCAGCTGGGCCACAGGGAAACTTAACTTCTCAGTCAGCACCATTGAAGAGCTTAGGGAGCAGGTGCAGAGGTGACTGGAGTGAAGAGAGCGGCATGGCCGACAGCTAGGGTAGCTTCAAGCATCCCTGCCCCTGCCCCTGCCCCATTAGGAAAAGCACTTGGGGACACAGTTCCTCACACAGCAGCTCTGGGTGTTCTGTCAGCTTATCCTCCTGGGAGGACCCCCACCTCTCCCCGCCAGCAGCAGACCTACCCAGAGATCTGTCCCCACAGACTTCCGGGGTTGCTGCCGCTGCACCCACTAACAAGGTAGGGGACAAGTGGTCTCCCTTAGCTGCCTTGAAAGCCAGGAGGCATCAGGATACACCCCTGGGAACCCGCAGCTTGCCGTTTGCCTTACGCGGCCATGTCTGCTCTGTTATTAAAGGTTCTGAACTCACCCGTGGCCTCATTCTCTGCGCCTTCAAGGATGCACAGTGCTGACCCCTGGCTGCTTGTTAAGCCTTCCTCCATGGTTTATCATCACGTGACCGCATACAGGGCAGGGTCTGGGGAGAGTGTGGTCATCGTAGGCTGGGCTTGCTGCTGTTGTAACTGAGCTGGTTGTCCATGCAGACCATGAGCAGCCTTGCTTCTCCTGAGGCCCAGACAGCAGTTCCCATGAAAAGATGGTCTCAGGTTTCAGCTGAGCAACAGAATTACCAAGCTTTCCCAGCAGTGGAGTTTCCATTCTTCCTGAACTGGAAAGCCCACAGACAACCCCAGGACGAAGTGCTTAGTCCTCCCCCCCAGGCTCACAGCCCCTCCAGGAGAGGGTGGCACGCCCTGGTCCTCTTGTTAATGGCAGTGGCAGCACCACGAGTTGTGAACCACCTTCCCTGGTAAGGGCCTTTCAGGTGATAATGGCCCCAAGATAGTGGCTCAGACAGAGACACTGCTCCTCGTGAGCTCTTGCTTAAAGTAGCAGATGGCATGGGCTGTGGCATTGTGGCCACACATCCAGGCCAGATGGTTACCTGGCTACTGTGGCAGGCCTGTGGCGACTTGGCCAGCCCAGCCTGTGTGTGCCGTGGCAGATTCCCTCCTGGGCACCAGCCTGCCTCTGATGTTGCCTATTGCTCTGCATTAGGGAACTTCACCCTGGAAAGGGAAAGGAACTCCAGCCCGTGCCCAGCTGAGCCTTGCTGTCATAGCCACCCTTCACAGGACACACCCCTCAACCTCACTGCCCACTGCAGGGGCTGTTGGAGTGCCACCATTTCCCTGTGGAGACAAGCCTGCCCCTTGCTGACTTGGCATCACGGTTGCCACCCTGCCCTAGTCAGGGTTTTGAGCCCTCCTTTGGCTGTGTTCCTGCACCAAGTCCCGCTGGCATTTAGCCAGCCCATAACACAGGCAGACAAAGGTGCTGCTGATGCCATGGAAAGTGGCCTGGTTCCAGCACAGGCTCTTCAAGGTCATGGCATGCGAGGACAGCCTTTACAGCAGGTGTTTGCCAAACCTCAGCGTGACCTGCACTTCTGCCTCTCCGTCCACCCTCTTGGGCAACTTCCAGCTCAGCGGACCTTAGCCTGGTCAACTGCAGGCAGATGGGGACAGGATTCAGGGTCAGACTCAAGGGTCTGCCCTCAGCCGTTAGCACAACCCACACATGTGGGAACCAGAGCCCAGTAGTTTTGTTCAAGTGTTAAAGAACCTGCTTCCCCACAAGGGATCAGTGTTCTGGTATAAGCTCCACCTCAGCCCCTGGCATCCATATATCCAAAGAGTCTGGAGTGTTCTGGTGGAAGTTCCACCTCAATACCCCTCCCCCATCTCTCTCTCTCCCTCCCCTGCCCCATCCCAGAAACAGGGCTCCTCCCCAGAGATGCTCAAGATCACTCCCACAGGGTATTTAAACTGCCCCCCAAAAAGCAGTTTGGTCACTCTTGGGGGAGGGCAGAAAATCATCCAGGAGCATTTTACCCATTAAATGTGGGCTTTTTCTAATTCAGTTTGATTTGGATTGCTGTGTCAGCGGGGAGGCTTATGGGATGCAGAAACTTTTCAGTCAGAACTGCAAGATGCTCTAGTCTCGCTCTGTCCCTTCCCCATAATTCATTTGTCAGGAGGCTGCAGGTATCCATCAAGACATTTCTGTGATGTTTGCATCACAGAAAACCTTTCAGATTAAACATTTGCCTCAAACCACCACCAAACTTAAAAAAAAAAAAAAGCCAACTTTGTAAGTGGAGCACAGTGACTTCCTCTTGTTATCCCTGTACTCAAGAGGCTGAGATAGGAGGATTTTAAGTTTGAGGCCCTCTCTAGAAACACAAACCAAAGTTGGTAACAGATTGACTGCTGTAGAGTAGAGAGCATATCAGACCTCTGCCCAGCAGCAGACCCAGCTCCGCCCACAGCCCCTGAGCCAGCCCTCCCTCTCATCAGCACCCTCAGACACCTGGCATCAGGTTCCACCCGGTTAGTCACCACAGTCCCTGATGAAGATCACTAACCAGCATGCTTGATGAACTGCACGCACTCACCTGTCCGGAAAGAAATCTCAGCACGTAGCCTGCTTCATGCTGCTGGTTGAGGCGCCTCATCTGGCTCATGTCCTCGGCTGCATTGGAGCAGGGTAGATACCCTGAGCCGTCCTGCAGGTAACAATCCGTCTGCTTCCTCCCTGACCTGCAGAGCACACAGCCCACATGGCAGGACTGCCCAGGGCAATGACCCTCGGCTCCTGTTGCTCCAAGGCCAGAAGCCCCATGAAATACCAAGGAATTAGCCTGCACCCCCTCGAGCAGGTTTGCACCAGTTCATGGTCCTTATCCCACCTGGCTGTGGCAGAGCATGCCGGCAGAGCCGAGTGGTAGTACTCCAGGTAAGTTCTGCAGTGGGAATAAGACACCGGCCGAGCCTGGTCCCAGTGATTGTGAACACACGAGCTTGCTTCAATGCCTGGAGGATTGTGCTCCCAGTGAGTCAATCTCATTTTAATTAGCTGTTTGGATTAGCCGTGCCCAGGGCTTCAAAGACATTAGCAGGCCCTCAGCGGGCAGCACACACAAGCAAGCGCAAGCACGTTTGATGCGCGTCCATCACAGCCTCAGCTTCCCGACTAGAACTCCAGGAAAGGGCCGAGGGAAGGCCATCCATCATTCATGAAGCCATTGTACATTCATGGGCTGCCTTTGTTGAGCAGGACGCACTACTGAAATGGGAGTCTCAGGAAACCAAGGCCCATGAGATGCCAAAGCGATGGCTGCCTACTGAGCTTGCAGCCCCTGCTCACTCACCATGGCAGGGAGCGCCGGCAAGCCCGGGGAGCCAAGTTACAGATGCTCCATGCGTCACGTCCCCAGGCTGACCTGCTGGCCTTCTAGAAGCCTAGTGCTAGAAATCTAGAGGCCCCCGAGTTGATGGGTGGAGTGGGGGCACCATTGTAGGGTTCTCCCTGAAGCTGGCAGGGTCTGCTTGGCTCTGAGCAGGGAGGCTGGAGCCCCTACATCTGTTCCTGCCTGCTGCTTTGTCAGGCCTTTGCCAGACAGAGGACCTGCGTTCAGAGGCACAGCCCTGGCAATGCCTACGGACCTCTGTCTTCACCAGTCCAGAGATGAGCAGTTGGTGATGGGTGTGGTCCAGCATCAGTCACAGGCCCAACACATGGAGGCCAGCCCTGCCTGCCAAGTTCTTGCTCAGAGCACCTGCAGACCCCTCAGCTCCTCACTTACTAATGTGATACAGTATAGCAACCAAACTAGCCACCCCCCACGCTCGCTCTCACACACAGACACACACAACAGCGGTCCTAACACAGTCCCCTGAGCATAGTCTCTGCATGTCCCTATAATTGGTCACTCAGTGTTGTGCTTTTAAACATAAAATACTAATTTGACAAATGTGAACCTGGGACTCCCTTATGTGTCATTGAGTTACCGTCCCCCACCCTGTATGTGTTAAGTAGAACACTTGTTGAGGAGAAGACTAACTCAGCACTTGGAACCTACTCAGACAGCTCGCTCGGGGACAGCAGCATGAAGGGACCTATAGAAGAAGCCATTCAATCTGGCACATCACCATGGAGACACAGCCTGCCCTCAGCCGTGACAAGCGCCCACAGGCAGAGAGTAGGCTGCTAGGGTTTGTCCGGGCATGAGTCACCGCCCCAACGACACCACTATCTTATCAAACCGACAAAACTAAAATGCATGTACCAGGCCAGCAGGATGGTGCGGGCAGTAAGAGCATTTGCTGCAAGAGCCTGATCCCCAGAACCCATGTAAAAAGTAATAATAAAATAAAGATGGATGCAGGACTGAAAAGACAGTTTAGTTCCCAGCACATCAGGCTCTCACAACTGCCTAGAACGCCAGCTCCAGGACGTCTGTCTGATGTACTCTCTTTGCTTGGAGCACCCACACTCGTGCACAAACTCACATGGGCATACACACTTTCTTTTTTAAGTTGAATATGGTGGCCCATATCTGTAATCCCAGAGCTCATGCGGAATGGGAGACGGAAACGGGGCAGCTGCCCAGAGTCCTGGGAGCCAGCTGGCCTGGGGTACACAGCACACAGATGGGGAGAGGCCCTGCCTCCACGGGGTGGAAGGAAGAACTGACTCCCATTGTCCTCTGACCTCCAAATACCCCATGGCGTGTGTGCACCCATGCTCACACATCGCTCGAACTAGTAACAACCAAAACTTAAAGTGTAAGCATGGGAGCTGGAGGGGAGGCTCGGTGCTAAGCACACTTGTGCCATCATGAGAACCAGAGTTTGGATACTGGCACCCACATAACAAGCCAGGTGCCCTTCCAGCACCTCTGACTCCAGCTTCAAAGGACTGAGCCCCTCTTCTAGCCCACATGCACTCCCACGCATACACAAGTAACAAAAATGCAGAGAAAAACAAAAACATCTGTAGCCACATTCACCTACACATGCATGATGAGGATCTGGAAGGAAACAACGGGATGGAGTGAAGACACCTTCTGTGGCCCCTTAGAACCTGGGACTACACAAACGAGACCGAGGATACTCACTCTTGAGAATGTGAACAAGAAGCCTAACTAAGCATGCCAACAGCAGCAGGTGCCAGCCTCCCAGAGAACTTTCTGGAGTCTAGGAAGACTCCACAAGCCATCCTGAAACAGACTGACCTGGAGAGCAAACGCCAGCCAGCCATGTGCCATGAGGGCAGCAGCCAGGACAGTACAGTCACAGGTGGTCTCACCACCAGACACTCTACTGGCCCCACCCCGCCCCCACCGGTCCTGAAATGAGAGGTGACAAGCAGAGCTGGCCGAGCTCCTTACCTGCAATAGGCACTTCAGGTCTTCACTGCTCCCTGTGCTGGGAACTGGGGTGTCCTGGGCTTGCAGCTGGATCCATGGCATCAGGAGGAACTGTGGCATCCCCGGTTGCAGGTATCCACCATCAGGAGCTGGCGTCAGCAGCCAACCAGCCATGATGGCGCTGAGAGAATGCCCCCATCACCCACCGCCCAGGAAGCTTGCCCAAACAGACAGGCTCTTCCAGGCTTCCCCTGGGTGGAGACCGCAGGTCGATGCCCAATCCTTCAAAGAGAAAACAGATGGCACACAGGAACAGACAGACAGGACATCCATCGGTCCTTCCTCACCAATCTGCCCACTCCTCAGAATCAGCCTCGTGTCAACAAGGCCTGGGTTCCTTTAAGGGATGTGACGGACAGACGGGGGTGTCAGGTTCTTTAGGAAACCTTTATTGTCATCATTAGAGATAAAAACAACGGAGTCCCACACCACACTCCTCCAGAAGGACAAGCGAAGGGAGGGGCACGGAGTGTCAACAGCAGCTTAGGCAAAGGGCGGAACCACAGGCCTCGGCCTCTTCCAGCTTCCCACCACCCCCTCCCTTGCGCCGTCCGTGGCGGCAGGTCAGTGGCAGAGGGCGATGGTCTCCATATTGAGGAAGCGGATGTGCATCTTGGTTTCGATGTCTATCCCTTGCCAGATCTGGAACGGAGGGAGTGGCATCAGGAGGCACCCCACCACTGCCTGACACCTGCCCAAGCCGGGTCCTCGGCCTTCCCACCCCCTTCTGAGCCCCACCAACTGAGCCACCTGGCCAATGAGAAGCGGGATGGGTTCCAAGGCTGTGAGCTAAGCGAGGGACAACTCCCAGCTCTCTCTTCCGGTTACTCTGGTTCTTGCCGAGATGGTCACCATGGCAAGTTAGGATGAAGTCCTGAATCCAAGCTCCACCATGGGTGGGCTCTTCAATCTCACCCACACCCCACAACGGGCTCAGTTCCATGCCAACGACAGCCTCCTTTTCCTTAGTGTCATTCCAGGGTTGCCCCTCCATGCCTCCCCCTTTCCAGACTCAGATAAGGTCAGCCTCATCCAAGGAGCACTAATGTAAACTACATGGCGGGCTCCATTAGATAGCATCATTAAATAACCCACCAGCGTGGTCGCCATAACCTCTGTGGAATAGGGGTCCAGCTGCTCAGATACACTTGTGCTCAGGTAGAGCAATCTGTATCGAGTGACACTGCTGTAGACTGTCAACCCTGGCCAGTTAGGGCCTGGACATTCAGTTCACAAGACCATTTACAAGACAAAGCCTTGTCCCTCCCAAGATCACCCTCTCCCATTCCTTGGCAATTAACAATTAGGTGGGGGGCGCACGTGGGGAGTCAGGATGAGAGCAGGGACAGAGGGACAGAGGAACCTAACATAGGCAGGTGGCGTGTCTCCCTCTGATGTTGGGGTGCCACACTGCCAAGCTGTCATCCAGCATCTATAGAGGTGCCCCGATGGGCTTCCTGGGGTGAGGCAGGCCTTGGAGCTAGGCTTCCCACTGTCCCCTGCACTGGTCCTGTGGGGACATGGAAAGAGTTCCATTTCACATTGAGCAGCCCCAACGGTTGGGAGTTTGAGATGTTCTCTGAGAAAGATCCCCGACTCCATGACAAATTCAGCTAAGTTCTGGGAGCGGGCACAGTCACTGGGGGCCCCAGGAAAGGACAAAGAAGGGGAGCTAACTTCTGAAGAACCATGGAGAAAGCCTCAGGATTGGTTTGCCACACCAAGACTCTTATTCCGGTCCAGGCTGGCTTTGAACTCCAGATGCCCCTGCCTCAGCCTCCCAAGTGCTAAGATCGCACTCAGGGTGCCACCATACCTCGCTCAAAGCAACTACGTCCTCTTCCTTGATACTCCTACCCCGTTATTCTGCATGGCGTACCTGGATGAGCAGGTCCCGGTGCAAGCCTGAGCAAACCCACACACCAGCAGCTCCTGATCTCCCTGCCACACCCCTTGTCCAGCCTTGGGTGTGGGCCTCTGACATGATAGGGGTTGTGCTGCCTGTCTGGGGGCCTGCAGTCGGCCTCCCTCGGTTGGGCTGAGGGGCAGACTTAGAGGACAGTGACCAGCCCTGGCTCTGCAAACAGAGGCACCAGGCTCCTTCCAAGTGCCAGCCTTGGCGGGGCCTGCATGCTGGTAAGCTAGACTGGGAGCTCATAGGTCCTCCTGTGTCCCGACCTCTTTGCCCACCTCCATGCCCAGGAGGCCTTGGAGAGATGATTTTAGTATTCTTCCTGCTTCCAGATAACTTAGTCGTCGAAGCAGCCAGGAGCCAATCTTAACTCCCAGCCCTAGAATGTTTGTGACAGTAAAGGCTGCCCACCAGATGGGTGCAGATGCCATCACAAGAGGGAGGACAGGCGAGTGGGTAGCCACTTAAAACTCCTATCAGGACACACTAAAGAGGCAGGACTCAGTAGTGTGTGGTCTACTCCAGTCTGCTTGCAGAATGCTGGTGTCTGTCCAGGTGCAGGCAGTTTCCAGAATCTTCCAGAATCCCTGCTGTACTGTGAAAAGCAACTGCTCCTAGGAAGGGCGCCAGTGTCCAGAGGGAGAGAAATTGACTTCTCCCATTTACCTGTGCACTGCTGAGGTCAGGAACCACACAGTGACACTACCCTTTCCACAAAGCCAAGGGAATCAGTTTATATGGTTTCCAAGGCCGCGTTATAGAACAGCACTGGTGGGCACTTGGGAATCTGCCTACAGCCACAGCTCCACAAAGTCCTCATGGTGTCCTGGAACCCTTATGCCCAGGCCCTTCCATCGTTTCCCCCTGGCACCCACCTTCAGGAAGTCCTCAAAGGTGATCCCCTCGTACACCTGGTCTGGTTCCTGAGGACGAGATTGTAGAGGGAGTGAGTGGCCAAGGTTTCACCCAGGTCACCTCCTCCAAACACCCAGAGCACAGACAGTCTCCTGGAACCCCAACAGTGACTGAGGCTTCATCCCAGTAGGGTCCCCCAGGAGGGTGTGGGGGATCGTGAACCCCCAGGCATGGGCCCTCCTTCCCAATACAACCTACCTCACCCTGTCCCTAAATGTCCAGCCACCAAGATACATCCTACCAGCCTGGGTCCTGTCTCAGCTCCCTCTACTGATAACAGAACTATTCTGGGCTAATCTACGCTCACAGCCCACTAGGGGGAAGGAGAAGGGAATGGAAGTCCCCCTGTGGTCGCCCTTGTACCAATGAGTCACCATGATAACCAGGGAGCAGGGGACAGAGTGTGGCTTCAGTCAGGGCCTAGCATGTTTGACAAAGCAAGTCTCCAGCTGTGTTCTTTCTACCGTAGGGACAGAAGGGACCTACCAGGACAGGCCAGTGGAAAATTGGGAGTTTTTATGACATGTTTTCTGAAACGGAAACCCTAAAAGAGCATTGGCCCTCGCCCCTGAAATGCTGAGCAAGTCTCCAAAACACTCCAGCCAGCATCCCCCTGGGAGGGTGAACACCACTGCAGGACCCCAAAGATCCCTGCTGGGTACTCAGGATCCCCTGCACTGCCCCCAGAGTGCTTTACCAGGATTTGGCCCTTCATGGCTATCAAGCGGCTAACTCTTCTCAGCAGAAAAGAAACAGGAACCCACAAGGAGCGAGTGCCTGCAGCTCCCGGCATGGATGTGGAAGGGGCAGCCCCTCTCTGCCCTTTGGACAGATGTGTGCCGGGGGGGGGAGGTGAACCATGTCCCATCAAGGCTGCCCGGGGAAACTGCAAGTGGAGCTCAGTGGTACAGCCTGAGCTTAGCATGCATGGGGCACTGGGTTCAAATCCCAGACCTCCCAAATACAAGTGACCCAACACATCAAGGCAGCAAAGGCACACATGTGATATGTTCACTGGCACTGGAAAGGGAAAGCCCCCAAGCGTGGTTCCCTACAGGGTAGGGCCTCAAGTGAGCATGGAGAGAGTGACCTTCACCCTCTCCTGATTGTTCCTGGGGGCGAGGGTCAATGTTCTTTTAGGGTTTGCTTCATAAAACATTTCATAAAACCCTCAGTTTTCACTGGCCTGGGCCTGCCCTGTCCCCAGGGGGAGAGAGAAGTGGCCACCCTCTCCTCCAGGGCACCACGCTCCCAGGCTGGGTGAGGAGAGCTAATTATAGACTCGACCCCACTGTGAGGCCAGCAGGAAGGTGGTGCTGGCATGGACAGAAGCTGGGAGATGGCAAGCCCAGGATGGAGCCCAACTTAGCAGCCCCTCCCTCTACCCACCAAGATCCCTGCACAGACATGGTCTAGAGACAGTACTTAGGGAGTCACCGCCCAAGTCAATAAGTAGCTTTGGAAGGGCATCAAAGCAGGGGCGGTGAGAGGCTCTCTGGTCTTTGGTGAGCAGCGTGGTGGGAAGCGTTAACCATCATGGGAAACTGGTGGCCACCCTGATCCACAGCTCAGCCGGAGTTCGGTCTGTCTTGATCTGGCTGATGGACAGCATGGGATCCAGAGGTGGACACACATGCCAGGCTCCCTTGGCTCCGTCACCACCCTACAGGGGCTCTGCACTGGGGAAGTCTCCACTTGTGAGGCAGGCGCCGACTGCCAACAATTTTACTACAGCAAATTATGAAAATCGCCAATTGAAAGTGGAGTGGGATGGGGAGTCATTTAGAGGAGAGAGTAATTAAACCAAATAGGTGTTTGGCTCTGCCCAGGTTACAAGGGGGAGGCCTGTTCTCCACCCGGCCAGAGTCCCTCCCTGAGGGGGTTCACATGCAAAGTGTGGCGGTTTTACTGGGGCCAGTTGCCTGTCTGAGAGAAGCTCAGGTAAACAAGCCAGGAGGGCAGCTCAAGGATCCCCAGTGACAGGCAAGGGGCACAGAGGGCGGGATCCAGCATGGAGTCGCCTCTGCTCTGAAGCTATTGTCAACACCGGTGCAAGGAGACCAGAGCTTGCTGGAAGCCCGGCCGTGGAGGTAGCCTTCTATCCGCCCTAGGTGTTCCCAGTGCTGCTGGGCTGCACCCCACCCTGTAAGAGAGGCCCCCAGCTAGGGAAGATCCCTGCTCCACCCCTCAGCTGCCCCCCAACACCAACAGTCTCCACAAAGGAAAGGTGCTGGGCCTGCTGTCAAGGCCTGAGAAACTCCTACTTCTCTAACTCCTGGGGCCCTGTGCTCCGCCATGCTACCCACAGGGTAAGAGAGGCCATGGTGGCACCACCTAGACTGTGAGCTCTGCTTCTCTGTGTCACACCGCTCTCCAGAGCTGCAGTTTCCCAGGGGCAGGAAGAGCCTGCAATAGGTTCTGACCTCTGCTCCATGCCAGGCCCTCATTAGAGCAGGAGGACACACCTGGCTCCTGCCACCGAGACCTTCAAGAAGCACAGGACTCCAACCGCAGGAAAGGCAACGGGGCCACGGAATGGGAGGATCTGTCGGTGGAGTCCCGCTCTCCGCCCTTCCCTCCCGCTACCCCAAGGGGTGCTCACCATCTGCCCCACGCACACACTGGCCGCCTCCATCATGGCTCCATCTGCGATGGATCGTGCTGACTCCTTCTCGATGTGAGGGTTTCCAGAAAGCAGCTCCTCCACCACCTGCCAGTGGGGCAGACACTTGGTGACCTTGGGTCTCCACGATGGTCCGAGGAGGGGGAGGCGCCAGAAGCCCCAGGCAGGGCCAAGAGAGCATACTTTACATTTCTATATTCTTCCAGGGTGATGCGGCCGTCACTGTCCGAGTCATACATATGGAACAGAACTGCGGGCAGTCGAGGAGGTAGAAGCCAGTTAGGTGAAGGCAGGAGTGGAGCCTGTGTTCCCTTCTCCCTCAGGCTCCTGCTCAGAAGTTACACCAAACTGAACACAAGACACTGTGGCAAGATCCAGATGCCAAAGCCTTAATTAGGGCAGAAAGGCGCAGGCCACAGGACCTAGCTGGGCTCCTCCTAGTGCGGTGCCTTGAGCCAGTGACCTCTCTTAAGCCTTGGTTTCCCATCTATAAAACGGGAGTTGCAGGCATCCCTGCCACCACCACTACGCTTCAGACATGTGACAATGCTGGACATCTCATGAGCACAAAGCCAGTTGGGTGTTTTTTTTTTTTTTAAGATTTATTATGAATACAACATCTGCCTCCATGTGTCCCTGCAGGCCAGCAGAGGGCACCAGGTCTCATTATGGATGGTTGTGAGCCACCATGTGGTTGCTGGGAATTGAACTCAGGACCTTTGGAAGAGTAATCAGTGCTCTTAACCTCTGAACCATCTCTCCAGCCACATTTGGGTGTTATCTTAAAATGACAGGTCCCTTGGCCAGGCAGGGTTGGCACACGCCTTTAATCCCAGCACTCAGGAGGCAGAGGCAGGCGGATCTCTGTGAGTTTGAGGCCAGGCTCCAAAGCAATACAGAGAAACCCTGTCTCTGGGGGAAAAAAGCCAGGTCCAACCACACTGCCCACATCCTGATAACTAGGTGGATCCTGAGGGTGGCAGAAGACTTAGCAGGGCCTGGCTGCCTCTCTCAGCCTTGGCAGCAGCCCACAGAGATGAGGTGCTGAGCGACTGCTCCCCGCCACCCCAGCCCTCCTACACACTCTGCTCTGGCATCTCTCAGGAACCAAATGTCCAAAACCACACAGTTTTCCCGGTCATGATGTCCTAGCCTGACCTTGTGAGATCAGGGTGCCACGGCCCAGTTCACAGGTGGTCTGTCAAGTCCTGTACATGCTAAGACAGGGGTCCTGAACTGGCTCAGACCTGTATTCCTGATTGCATGACCGTCATCGCAGCCCTCAGATGGACTATGTGGAGTGTGGGGACCTCCTGAGCAGCAATACAGGGGACCCAGGAGACAGCCAGCGTAGTTGCTGCCACCAGCCCCTCACATGCACTCCAGTGCTAAACATAGCTGGGTATTTAGAGACTGAGGAGGTGGGGAGGGACGTCAGGAGTCGTGGGAAAGATCACAGTGCTGAGAGGAGACGTGACTCCATGCTGTTGTCCAGCCAGGATAGCCAATAAATGCTTCCCAGAGGTGATGACCTAAAGAGGAACCTCAGGAGAGGGCTACCACAGATGCTCACAGCATGCCATAGGGGAGCAGGTGTGGGGCCCAGGCTCGGAGGCTCCCCAGCCCCGGATACAAGGTTCTGCCTGCTACAGAGGCCTCAGCCCCACAGCCAGCCCTGTTCACAGTCAGCATCCATGCCCAGGTCCACAGTCACAGCTAAGTAGAAGGCCTCGAGTAAAACTCCAGGTCTCTTTAAAGTATGTCACCCCGCTGGACTTGTCAGAAGCTGCTGGACTTGTATGAGGACACTGGGGGACAGCTTAAGAGAGGCCACACCAACATCTGCTGTTGGGGGACTGGTGGTGTAAGGACACAGGCTATGTCCCCGGCTGTCTCCCTCCCTCCCACAACATGGCCTAGCCTCCTGCTCTCAGGAACTCCCGAGTTCTGAGGGCTTGGCACACACATTTCAGCTTCTCCTTTCGGGACAGCTCCACCTGCTCCTCGCCCAGGGTGGTGTCGATGGGCCGGAAGTAGGACATGATAGTCAGGAAGTCCTCGAAGTTGATCTCGTCGGCCAGGCCACTGGGTCCCTTGCGCAGGTTCCTAAGAGGGCAGCAGGGAGAGGGAGGGCCTCAGTACATAAGAAGTATCCCTTGAGATGGCTTGGTGGGTAAAGGTGTCGCTCTGCTGCCAAACCTGCTCACCGCCCCAAGACCACCTGGTAAAAGAGCTGACCCCTATAAACTCCCCCTGACCTCTATACACACGGAATACTATGGAGTGTACACACACACACACACACACACACACACACACACACGACAACATGGCCCTCTGCATGCATGTTCCCAAGAATCCCACCCCGCTGCCTGCCACAGCCCCCCCTTGCAGGGTTCATGGTCCGCCAACTGGGCCCCAGCCTAGCTCAGTTACTCTCCATTAACACCATCAAATGACAGGCCCATCGGTTCGGATCAGAGCCCTCATCATCCATGGATCTCCAGAGCCCCACCAGCTGGGGATGAGGTCGCGCCTTCAGCACCTGAGCCGGTGAGGTGTACCCCCGTCCTTAGCCTTGATCACATGTGGGAGACAAGTCTGACTCTGGCCTCCAGGCCCACGGAAGCCATGAGAAGTCAATGCTGGGCTTGAGGCTGGGGGCAGATCCCAGTGGGCTTGCCCGAGAGCCTGGGTTCCATCCCAGAGTCATGGATAAAATGTATAGAGCCGGTCTAGGAGATACTCAGTAGGTGAGGTGCTTGTCAGGCAAGCATGACTGGGTTTGGTTGTGGTGTGTGCCAGTAATACCACTTCTGGGGAGGTGGAGGCAGGAGGATCCCTGGAGCTCCTTTGGCCAACCTAACCAAATGGACAAGCTCTAGGCCAGTGAGAAGTCCTGTCTCAGCACAAGGGCAGTACCTAAGAATACCAGCTAAGATTGTCTTCTGGCCTCCACAAGCACACATACATACATGTACACCTGCATGCATGAACATGTGCACACTACATACATGTACATCTACATACACAAATGTGCACATACACATATGTGTATGCCTACATACATGAACATGTGCATACACACATGGACACCTGCATACATGAACTTGTGCACACATAACAAACGTAAAGAAACAAAACCCAAAGCAGCTGCTAACTTTGGAGTCATTTGTTACACAGCCAGCAATGACTAACAGACGTGGAGGGACTCAGGAGAGCTGAGCATTTTGGGATATCTGTATACCGTGTGAAGCTGAACTGCTCTGATTGGTGTAATAAAATGCTGACCGGCCAATGGCTAGGCGGGAGGTAGAGGTGGGATTTCCAAGGAGCGAGAGGGAGAGGAGGAGCTATCTAGGACGCAGCATGGGCAGTACTGACTAGGCGGGAGGCAGAGGTGGGATTTCCAAGGAGGGAGAGGGAGAGGAGGAGATATCTAGGACACAGCAAGATGAGGCCATGAGCCACTCATCAAAAACGTAGATTAAAATAAATGGGTTCATTTAAGTTCTGAGAGCTGGTGGGCAAGCCTAAGCTATAGGCTGGGCTTTCATAAGGCTGGCAGGGCAGAGAAAGATTCCTGACAACCCAGGATCCCTCCCCCATTCTGTGTTTCATAATGGAAGAGGCGTCCCCCCCTCAGCCTGCCCAGGGGAGGGTGCTCACCTGTTGTCGAAGAAGGCACGAACGATTTTGGATCGGATTGGGTTGAGCTCCAGGTCAGGGACATTGTTGAAGTTCTCCTTGCTGTATTCCAGGATGCACAGGAGAGAAAGTTCCAAGAGAGTGGTCATCAGTGGCATGGGACACATGCAGTGTGGTGCCACTTTGTCCCCAACAGCCCCACCCTCTCCCCTCAGGCCTCTTGCCTACAGATTGGTGGAGGGTGAGAAGAATGAGGGAGCCTGTCACTTGGAAGAACCCAAGAGGTGGGTGGGACTCTCGCACTCATGCACAGAGACAAGATCCGCGGAGATGAGGCGGGGAAACCTTGGGGTGACTTATCTGGGCTCCCAGCAGTAAGACACTGGCTGAAAGGGCTGAAAGGGAATGGGGTGTCTGAGAGTTTCAGGACCTGACACCTCCTAGTATGTGCCAAGAGAGGCGAGCACACACAGGCAGTCTCCAAAGGAACCTCATGAGAACCACAGAGGGGCCAACCAAATGTCTGCTACCAGATAAAGTGATAGCTAGACTGCAGGCTGTCCACACAGGGGAATATTACACAGCCAGGAAAAGAACTGCAACACCGATACCCACTAGAGGAGGATGAACCCTAAGGCTGACCTTGCTGGAAAGACAATGGCGGTGAAAGGTCACGACTCCACTTAAATGATGTGTCTAGAACAGGCTCAGTCACTGAGGCAAAAAGCAGGAGAGGAGTGGCCCAGAGCTGGGTGAGCCGGAGGACCCCTAAGGGGAAAGGCTATCCTTGGGTGACAAATATCTGGATACTTAACCCTGCAGAGACACTGGCATTGCTGTGCATTTTAACGACTGAGCTGTAAGGTGTGTGGGCTTCACTTCAATAAAGACAAGAGACCCAGCAGCAGCAACGCCCTGGGCAGGCTCATGTGCCATCTGCCTGCCTAGCAGGAGGGACCCAGCCTCCATTCAGGTTGCCTGTGCCTGCTCCATGGCAGTGAGTTCCAAGGGACCTAGGGCACAGCCCAGTACTCCAGGGCACAAGAAAGAATGCCCAGGATGGGGAGGGGTCGGCTGATTAAAAACAACAACACGCGCGCGCACACACACACACACACACACACACACACACACACACACACACACACACACACCCTGAAGATATTAGTGGGGGACGTGACACAGGAATAGGCTGGGGCAGGGAGCTGAGACTGTTTGAGTTGGGAGGTTCCACAAACAGTCCCTTGTCCCCTTCTGGCTTCACCTCACAGGAGAGGGGCCTCCGGCTCCAAACACAAGCAGAAACGGGTGACCGGATCTCTCCTGTTCTCACCACCCCTGGGTGGCTTCCTGCCCCTCCCTCCCTCGTGGCCGGACTGGTGGCATCTAGCCAAACAGGAGCTGGTGACTGTGCACAGCCACCTTCCTCATTGACCAGAGCCCAGTCTGGAAGAAGACTACACTTTGGACAGTTGTCCCACTCTGATGGGTGCCACGATATGACCAAAAAATAGATTTGGGGCAGGAAGGGTGGAAAAGGAATGGAGGGGCTGGTGAGACGGCGGAGCCAGTAAAAGCACATGCGTGCAAGCCTGGAGGCCCGAGTTCAGGTCCCAGAACCCGCATAAATGCGGAAGGAGAGAACCGACTCCACCAAGTCGTATGGACATACAGTAACACTTTTAAAAGGAAAGAAGTGAGTGAAATCTGCAGCCCCAGCAGCACAGTGGTGCGTGCCTGAGATCCTAGTGCGGAGGCTGAGGCAGGAGGGTCACAAGTTCAAGGCCATCCTGGGCTGCACAGACGCTGCCTACTGACAACCTAACCAAACAAGGGAATGAAGCAAGGACACTGGCTGCCACTGCCACCGAGCCTCAAGAACATCATGCTCAGGATGGAAGCCAGCAGAGCGCCTGGTTTCCAGGGTGATGGGGGTGGGTGTCATTCTGGGATGCTTAAAGTGACAGTGCAGCTTAAGTGGCTGGGTGGTACATGGGAATGAGTGCTCCACAAACTACTGAAAACTTTCCCCTGCTCTTGTTAAAAAACCGCAGCACCATCCATTTCTACAGAGGGAATTTCCACACAGGATAAGGGCTAACTGCCCTTGCAACGGGCAACCCAGAGGGAACACAGGGAGCCTTGGGGTCAGACACACAAAGGCTCTATCCCTGCCCCCACTCAGTTGCTAACCTCCAGCAACCACAGGAGGAAGCAAGAGAAACCAGAACCCTGGACAGAAGCAGTCAAGGTTACCACGGAGACAATCAGATCATCAGAGCTCCCCCCCCCTCCTTGCTGGTCGCTGCTCATATGACAGGAGTAATGGCTGTGTGAGCTGTGAGGCCTGCAACATGTATCTTACCTGGGGGAGACCCGACCTACCAGGGCTATGATTCCCTGAAGTAACAGGTGTGACACAGAGAGAGCCAGTCTCCTGCCCAGGCTCGCCCAGTTTGGGGAGTCACACTGGGACCCAGGCAGGGCAAAGTCACACTCATACCCCTGGGCACTGCCCTGCCCACTCTTTGACTTCTGTCTCTACAGGTGTCTGCCAGACACGCACTCCTATCCACCCTCCCCTCACCTCAGGTACCTGCTTCTGTGAGGGTCAGTCTCCTCATCTGTGAAATGGGTGCAGACCTAACACTGCCCTCTGTACCAACATGACGGGGTAAAATACAGGGGTTGTGGCTGCCGACCCAGGCTCCTCCCTCTGCAGCACATGGTTTTTGTGGAAGAGGGTGCCCCCCACCCACCCCAGCTTCAGATGTCCCAGTTGTAAGGTAGGAATACTCGGTACACTGGGATGGGGGTGTCACACATGAACTCGGTGGGAACAGAGACACTGTAGCGTTAGAGCAATGTGGACCATGGCGTTGCAGCGGTGGACAGAGATCCTTTTAGTGACAGCCACCAGTGCAGCCCTCCCGAGGAGGAAGGTCCCACCCCACTGACAATGCCATGGAGGGCAGGCACTGAACCCATTTTAGAGACCAACAAGGCAGAGAGGTGAAGAGACACCCTCCTAGTCCGGAGTGGTAGCACCTGTTATCCCAGGTTCTCAGGAAGCTGAGGCAGGAGGATTGTGAGCCCTACACAACTGAGGAACCCCACCCCCACTCTCAAAAGTAGAAGAAGGGCTGGGGGTATAGCTGGATACAGAACACTTGTCAGGGGACCCAGAAAAGATGAGAGGGGAGAGGAGAGAAGGAGCACAGAGACGGTGACTACTGCCCACGTGTGACGTCTTGGCCTTGGTCTGGAAGCAGTCACTCACAAGCAGTCACTCACTGGCCGTCTGGTACCCAGAGACCTCTGACTTCTGCCACCCCTACTCTGACAAAGAGAAGGCAAGTCTTGGTGCTGGAGTTGGGCCAGGCCAAGCCGAGTGGCCTCGGGGTCCACATCTCATGCCCGTGAAGCCTTCACTGAACTTGTAAGGATTCTGTTCCACCCCAGGGCCCTGGATGCTATCAGGTCACTGCTCTTGGCACTTACCTTCAGTCCAGCACTGCCGCCCTAGTGGTCAGCAAGGAGAAGGGCCACAAAAAGCCCCAAGGGACACCTACCTTCCATGCCTCCTCCAGGGCAGCTTGGAGCCAGGGAGGGGGGCGGTTTACAAGTTCTGAAGTGCCCTCCCCATGCCAGGTCACTCACTGGGAGACTCAATAGCCCTCACAACTGTAAGTGACGACGGTGATGGGCCCACTTTCATTGACAAGAACATGGAGCCCAGAGAGGCCAAGCCAGTAAGCTGTAGTTAGCTATCAGAAGCGCTCTGGCCCCAGGGAGCACACCCACCCCTTCTCCAGGCTGTCCCTTTTGGCTTTGGAGAGAATCAGAGCTCTATGGGCACCCACTCCTGCCCAGTTCCAGATGAGATCCCCTGGGGACTCACAAAGAGGGTAGGACAAGCATCTAGCTTACAAAAGGACTCACAAAACCAAGAAAACCACTGAGGGTCAGGCTGACCTCTTCTGCAAGCCCAGTGCTGTAGGCTAATTTCCGGTGACTTCTGAGGCCCAGCTCAGCCGTCAAGGTCACTCTGGTAGACCTCAGTGTAGAGCTCACAACTGAGTTCACAGATCAAGTGTACAGTTTTCCCATCCTGGGGAAACTGAGGCCTCATGGGGACTCTTCAGGGAAGAGATCATGTCTTACAGGGCAAAAGTTTTCCCAGGCAATGCTGGACACAAAACCTGAGGATGGGAGGGGACACTGGGGTTGACAGCTGAGTGGGACAGGCAGAGGGATTAGAGGACTGGACAGCATCCCAGACTCCTGGTGGAACTGTCCACTTCCTGATGGGCCAGGAGCAAGAGAGACAGACACACACACACACCACGGGGTCGCTCTGGCTGGGGGCGGGAGGGGGTTGGCAGAAGAGGAGGCCACCCCATTCACTATGACTAAGGAGCAGCTGGGCGGGGTGAGGGCTCACCTTGGGACACAAAGGGGATGTATGATGGCTGCAGTGTACTGTGGCGTCTGGGTTGAGGTCCTGGCTGGGCACACAAACATGCAGGAAGCATTTCAAGTCACGACCTCTCTAGGAAAGCTGGGGGTGAGAGCCTCCCCTGATGGCCCAGCTGGAGTCTGCTCTCCCTACTGTGGCCCCGACTGGTCCCACCACTCATGATACTCACTGGGTTAGCTTAGATGCAATAAACTTCTTGGGGAGTCCCTGGACACCTGTTCTGTGAGCACCATGTGGGTGACAGAAGGTGATTATTAACTGTTAAGAGTCAGGGTTCTGCCTGCCTATAGCATGGGGGTCCCTCAGCACCCACTCACACCTTACAGCTTGACCACCCCCCCTCTGATCCCAAACTCCCCTATGCAGACGGGACCTCTGTGGCGCCCCCTCCCCCACAGGACCCAGGACTCCTATACCCTCCAAGCAGATCAACCAGACTCTGCTCTGCATCTCAGGTGGGGCCCAATAACCCGGCCCATTTGCCAAATGCCTGGGGACCAGCTGTGCACATCTGCAAGCCTATTGCTCAGATTCAAGCTAAAGCAGCAGCCTGCTTTGCAGAAGGCTGGAAGTGGGGGTTGGGGGGAAGTGGGGAGGTGGCCAAAGCACACAGCCAAGAGCTTGAGGTTCGTCTCCCAGATTTCTCGCCTGCACCTCAATTCTGAAGAGAAGGGATTTGATCCAAAGCCTCTCACCAGGTAAGGCTGGGTCTGACCCCAAAGCCCACCCTTTCTCAATTCCAGGCAAGGCAAACAGTTTGTTTCTGAACCCTGGCAATTGGTCCCGACTCAGGTGCCTGAGCCTATGCCAGGCAACTTCATGGGGTGCCCAGGTTCCTCCTCTGGGCTTACAGGGCAGGCCGGCTGGCTGCTCTGCACAGGTCAACCCTGTCTTTGATGGAGTGTGCGGCAAATTAAATCGAGACCAGAGGCCACAGAATCATGAGACCATTGGAACCTTCCGGGCGCCACTCTAAGTTAATAATGTGCCTTTGTGTAGGAGGCAAGAAAATGTGCATGTGCACATGGCTCCCTCAGAGAGAGAAATGAAGCCATCTACGAAGACGGAAGCTTTCCTGGGGCCTGTGCAAAACTTGCAACAGTGTTTCCATGATGTCACCTGGAGACCCCATGCATAATTTAGGATACTGCTATCTGCTACAAAGTTTGTGGCAGAAGTCTGTTCATGTTGCAGGGTCTTGGCTCCCACCTGTCATTCCAGCTTCTGAGCAGGCAGGAGGATAGCAAGTTAGTCCAAGGCCAGCCTGGGCTACAGAGTGAGTCCAAGGCCAGCCTGGGTACTTTAATGAGACACAGCTAAGGGGAAAAAGGAAAAACCAGAGGGCTGGGGTGGAGTGCCTGCCTAGCAGGTGTTGGGCAGCGTTCATCTCCGGCACCAAAAACCAAGAAAATGAAGCCACAAGGGAAAACATCAACTTCCCTAACAGAAAGTGGACCCTGCCACCCACCTCATCTTGTCCAAGACTAGAATGACGCCATGGAATTAAAGTCTAGAGATAGGTTCGTCAGGATGATGCCAGCACCCCAGGGAACACAGCGCTATCAGTTGGCTCTTATGCTCCAGCACCAGGGAGGATCTGGCAGGTGATCTGTGTGTGTGTGTGTGTGTGTGTGTGTGTGTGTGTGTGTGTGTGTGTGTGTGGTGTGTAGTGGGGGGTGGGGAAGCATTTTAGGACATGTCCAGATCACACACTGCACCAAGTAGTTGGACAGGGCTGGGTGACTGACTCACTGTCTCCTCCCCTCCCTGGCTTCCCCGACAGGTGTCTGATCCTGTAAGAAACAGAAAGTGTCCCTTCTCCCCTCCACAGCTTGTCTTAGAAAGACCCAGGAGAATCCAAGCAACAGGTTTGCTTCAGAAACTGGGACAGCCCTTGGAATCAGCCAGCCCAGAGCCCCGTGTACCCAGGGAAAGAGATAACGGGCAGAAAATAACCGCAAACCCTGCCTAGCCCAGCATCTTACCGAATGGTGGGCTGGTCCCCACTCAGCTGCTTGAACCTCCTGTGCAGTTGTTCGATCTGGTCCGAGGAGACTGGGGGCGGGAAGGGAAATGGGAGAAAGAAAAGAAATGAGAGAGAAAGAGAGATCACTGACATTGAACTTGAGGTAGTTGGAGGCTGCAGTATTCTTTGGTTTCCTCCTCACTTGGCCACTGCCACCCCTCTTGTGACACTGTGACATCCCCCCTTGACCACATTGAACCACAGCTGAGGGATTGAAGAGCCTCCCTTTCTGCCTGCTGGGGCAGCTCTGGGGTCATCGTTAACTCCCTTAGCAAGATAGCGGCTATTTGTGAGTGCTAGCCCGATGGTGGGCCAGAGCAGCCACTCCCAGACATTGTCCTTCCACCGCAAGAGAAACTTGTACCCGCCTGTTTGCCAACTCCACCCCACCCCCACTATCCTGTCCCCCGTCTGCCTGAGGGGCTTGTCTTGGCTAGGAGAAGGCAAGGCTGGGGAGAGCAGAAAGAGAAGGGGGAAAGTAGGCCTGGAAGGAGAGAGTCCCCAGGACACACAACGTCCCTGGTGCAGAGAGAGTGGTGAGTGACCAAAGGGGGTCCATGCAGTCATCTCTGGCTTTACTCTTGCCAGCTGCCATTCAAAAGGCTGAAGACAACAACAGCACTAGCAATTGGGAGATCTGGGATACAATCCAAAGGATGCCCTTCCCCCATGGATGTCACCTACGACGTACTCCCAGATGCTTGATGCTCAGGACCTTCAAGTACTCCTGGGGTTCATGTCCAGTTCAGGCCAAACGTGCCAATGCGGTGACTGGGTTGGGGACCTGTCATACATACCTCCCCACCCCCACCCCCACCTCTCATTCTAGAAGCTGTGAATACCTGAGACCTAATGCCTGCCCCCTTGTCTTGAATCTTCTCCCTCTCCACCTCAGGCTCAAGCCTTGGTTTATCCAAGAATCCACCACACAGGGCTCTCAAGCATCCCCAGCAGCTGCCGCTCACCAGGGGAGACTAGGGAAGGCTGCCAACCTGGGCCAGGCAGCACTTCAGAGATTAGCTCATCCATCCTACCCAGCACAGACAGGCAGGGCTGCATCCCCGCAATGCACATGCCGTCACGAACGATCGGAAAAGCTGATATCCAGGACAACAGCCGCCTTTCTAGAGAAACATACAGCCACGGACAGGACGGGAAAGACAGCAAGCAAACCCACCAGGGTCCGGTGCCTAGTATGAACATAATAGAAGCAAGGATGAACAGAGCATGCTTGCGGCCTCGTGGCTGGGCTGTGTGAATCATTATGAATTGGAAACCACCCATGGCAGGTCAGTTGAAGTATAAAAGGCTGATGCAGCCGATGGATAGGGTTGTATACAGTCATGAAATTGGCACCATATGTAACAGACCCAAAAGAAGCCAGCCATGGAAAGGCATGTGCCACGATTTCCCCTGGGCAAAGTTCATACTACAGTGTTAGCTGACAAGGAAGTGGCTGCCCCCCACCCCCCCACCCCCACCCCCGGTCAGAGTAACATGATGAATGGAGTGTGAGGAGGGCCCTGGGGGCAGAGAATATTCTATATCTTGATGTAGGTACAAGTGACACAGTGGTTCCCTTGGAAGGCGGAGCTTCATGTTTTGGGTGAAGCACTTTTTTTAGGGGGGTAGGGGGATAGGGTCTCATATAGCCCAGGCTACCCTTAAATTTACTATGTAGCAAAAGACGAGCTTGAATTACTGATCCCCCTGCCTCCACTTTCTAAAAGTGTGTGCCAACACACCAAAGTTAGTAGGAGCCGGGGGCAGAAGAGCCCCTACCCGTTGTTTCAGGTGAGCACCCTACCCGTTGAGCTACAGTCCCAGCCCAGGTGCATAAGGATTTCTGGTCCCTGTGATTCACAAAACAAAACAAAAACAAACAAAAAAACTTTACCCACCAACTTCAGTAATGCTCCTGGGGAGGAATCGATCCTGAAAGTAAGAATTCAACAGGTGCAGAGAGCATGTGCACACATCTGCATTCCTGTCACGGTCTGGCTGCCCTCACAGCCCACCAGCCCTCACAGAAACCCTCGGGAAGGACCAGAGGTGTTTCTGATTTGGGACTGTTTTCAAAATATCTTCCTGCATCAAATCTGTAGTTGCTGGGTCTTTCATTTGACGGTCTGTGACTGATCTGGGTCCCCAGGCTAAGCCTGAAGTGTTCTCAAGCAATCCTCCTGCCTCAGCCTCCAGAGAAACTACAACTGAAAATCCTGCTGCATCTCGAGCTGTTTCTTCAGCATGGCTACTGGAAAGTGTAGAATTAGGTTACACCACAATTACTAGAAAACTCAGGTTTATTCTGTCTTGTGTGACATCTGTACCAGATGATGCTATATACACTCTTCCAATCAGCAATCTGATCCCTATAAGAAACCCAACGAGTAAGGAGTGCACAGAGGTGGCCACAGGAAGCTCGCCTGCCTAGTAATAAAATAACCACACCATGGAGAGAATGCCAAGCCCCAGGAAACCACAATCGTCCTGGGATATCCTTGAGTTGGAATAGCACACAACCTTAAAAACATACTTGAAACAGTCTTATGTAAAGCAGGCTGTCCCTGAACACTCTGTGTAGTTGAAGATGATAATCCTGCCTCCACCATCCAAATGCTGGGACTACAGGCATGCACGGTCACACCTGGCTTATATGTTATGTGAACCCAGGGCTTCGTGCATGCTAAGCAAGCACTGTATGAACTAAGCCACTCTATGAACTAGCCCTTGAAAAACCATTTTGAGGTAGTGAGAGTCATTATTTAATGTCCCCGGCATGCCATCAAGGGGACGATCCAGCCAGGCAGGATGACACTTGCTGTGAGGTTCACGCTGAAGGCACATGATCGCACGGGATAGAGCAAGCAGCAACTGGACTGGAGGCTTGCCTTCGGCTTGCCTGTGTTTTCCAGTTTTGCTCTGTACAGTGCGTAGGCATCAGCCATAACAACATTTCCCGGTACACGGCACAGTCCATATGGGACAACAGACGTTCTCAAGAATATTAATGAGTCATCCTTGGTTTGGTGCCATTGTCTGTGCCCATGTGATCTTATGAAGGACACACATCCCTTCCTTTTCGGACAGACTCTCATGAGGCCCAGGCTAGCCTCTAACTCATATAGCCAAAGACAAACTTGAGCTCTGATCTTGGCCTGTGCTGGGGATTGAACTTAGGGACTCCGGCATGCTAGGGAAATGCTCTACCACAGCCATAGCCCCAGCTCGTCAGCCTATACTATTTGTTTATTTGAAATGGGGTCTTCCTATGTTGCCCTGGCTGTCCTAGAACTCACTGTGTAGACCAGGCTGGCCTCTCGAACTCACAGGGATCCATCTGCCTCTGCCTCCCGAGTGCTAGGGTTAAAGACATGCACCACCACACCTCTACTTCTGACAAACATAAATTGTAAATTGCGCTACCTGGAGTTTCTAATAACCAGTGACCCACATCCAGATGAAATTAATTTCAGTAATAGATTTTCTTTAGTCCACAATATCTGAAATACTACCATGTCAACATGTAACCCACATAAAGTAATAAGGCTTTGGAATTCTGCATCTCACATCTCACTTGGAAGAGTGATGGGAAAGATGTTCCCAGCCCCAGGGAAGGGACGGGGGTGGGGGGTTGGGGATGTCTAATGGGGGTCCATGCAGCCTGAGACCTGAGCATGGCAATAGCGCTGATGAGTCAGGGACCCAGGACTCCTGGGAAGGTGGGGGCAGCGGGGATGGCTGCCTGTGCCGCGCTGGCTTCATCCATTGGGATGAATTTTAGAGTCTTGCACCTTCGGGAACATAAGACTCCAAGCCAGCGCCAAGACTGTCACCCCTGGCAAGACAAGACGGAAAGCAGACACAGAGACGGCTGGCAACGGCTGGGAGCCAGCAGCTGCAGTAGACCTGGGGAGAAGAGTGGAGCTTGGACAAAGGACAGGCAAGTGGCACAGTGGGACTTGTGTCTGCTCTCCTCAGGTTCCCTGAGCTTTCTTGCCTCCTGCCCTCGGCAGCCACGCCCACCTGAATGTGGATGCTTAACACCCAGGGGCACACTAAGTAGGATTAGGATTCGGGGACTTCCAAGGTGCCCAGAGCTCTGTGGCTCACCATCCCAAAAGAAGGACCAGGACCCTGCGGACACCACCCTCGGTGCATATAGTATGTATAGGCACAGGCAGCGGCAGCTCTGAGAGGCGGCTTTGAGCTGCTCCTTAAGCACCATTCTGCCTCCTCCCGAGAGAGCTGTAACACCTCCCACCCCCTACGGGGTGGCTCCCATGGTGACAAGCCATCCTAGTCACAAATGCTATTCACAGCTCTCCAAGGTGAAAACAGCCATGTCTCCTGTGGATGACTGACTTGGCTATATGAAAGAGGGGAAAACCACCTGTGAAATCCTGTTCACAGAAGGCTGTTGTGACCCTTACTGCTGCAGAGTGGACCGGTGACAACAGTGCACCTGGCACCAAGGCCACCTGGTCACACGTCAAGCACCCAGCCAGGTGATTCCATGAAAGTTGAACATGGACTCTTGCTGGCCAAGGGCCAGGAGGAGAAGGTGAAGATGGGTAGGTAACAGGTGGGCACAGGGTTTAATTGGGGGTGATGGAATGTTCTGGAAATTGAGATTTACAACACTAAATGCACAGAACCCAACCAAGATGCTCACTTCACAGCAGTTAAAGTGTGTGTGTGTGCGCGCGCGCGCACGCACGTGTGCATGTGTGTATGTGTGCATGTGTGTGTGCGTGTGTGAAGGGGGTGAGGTCAACACCCAATGTCTTCCTGTCACTCTCCACCTTGTTTATTGAGCTAGTGTCTCTCTGTATCTCAGTTCACAGATTCATACCGAATGGACAGTGAGCCCAGGGCTCCTCCCCAGCTCTGGAATTGGATGTACAGTACTGCTTTTTACATGGGTGCGAGGGATTGAACTTGGGTCCTCATGCTCAGGGGGCACTTCACCAACTGAGCCATCTCCCAAGTCCTAAAATGGTAGATTTTATATCACATGAACTTTGGC